AAAAAATTAGCTGGGCATGGTGGCGCACGCTTATAATTCCAGTTACTTGGAAGGCTGAAGCAGAAGGATCACATGAGTCCAGCAGCTTGAGGCTGCAGTGACGGTGAGCGTGCCACTGCTCTCTGCCTTGTGGACAGAGTGAGACCGACAAAAAAAAAAAAAAAAAGGCAAAAAATTATCCAGACATGATGGCATGTGCCTGTAGTCCCAGCTACTCAGGAAGCTGAGGTGAAAGGATCCCTTGAGCCCAGGAGTTGGAGACCAGTCTAGGCAACATAGCCAGACCCACCACCCAACCACTCCCAGTGCAAATCGGAATCTGAATGACTATGTGTGTGCATGCATTCAATCGGGGGGGGAGGGGGTTGTTCAAATTTGCTATTGGCCAAAAAAGTGAAAAGAAGGTGGTGGTTCTGCAGAAAGACCTCATTTCTACAGAGAAAATCTGTATTTTTTTCAGAAGAGATTACAAGTCCCTCATACTTCTGCTTGATGACATGTGGTGTTACGTGGTTCCCCACGGGCGCTGGACTCATTGCTCGTTGCAAATGATCTGACCATCCCCAGTTTAACCTAAATCCCTCTTGTTGCAGTGATACCTGACACCAGCTGGGAAGTGGGGCCGTCTGTTACAGGTGGGCCCCTCCCCATTCTTTGCACACCCCAATGTGAAGAATATTCAACTCACAGATCTACCTGTCCAAGGCAGGTTTTGCCAGCTCTACCCTGAATCAGCTACCTGGTTACCACAGGAACCCGGGGAGAGACATACACTAGAGCAGCCGTGACCACTTTTTCAAAGATGCTCTTTTATCTGGGCTTTGAGTCTTCACTTCAGCTGGGTGAAGGGGAGATGTGGGAAGTAAATAAAAATTCAGGGATGGGAGGGAGAAAACACCAGGTCAGAGAGTGCCCTGCTGGGGGCATGAGAGGACACGCTTTGCTCACGCCTGTCTTGTCCATCAGTTGGCCCAGGCCAGACATGGAGGGAAGGTGGAGTCAACGTCATGGGTAGCCCGGGAAAAAAGGAAGTTAGCTGGGCTCGGTGGCTCAGCCTGTAATCCTGTGCTTTGGGAGGCCGAGGTGAGTGGATTGCCTGAGTCCACGGGTTCGAGACCCGCCTGGGCAACTTGGCGAGACCTCATCTCTACAATAAATCAAAAAATCAGCCGGGCGTGGTAGCGCGCGCCTGTAGTTCCAGCTACTTGGAAGGCTGAGGCGGAAGGATGGCCGGAGCCCAGCAGGTCGAGGCTGCGGTGGCCAGGAGCGGCCACTGCACTCGTCTGGGCGACAGAGAGACTCCAAAAAAAAAAAAAAAAAAAAAAAGGAAAGAGGAAGTTAACATTGCTGCTCCTTCTCTTGCTGGCTGCGTCTTGGGGATTCTGCAGGTCAGAGCAGGGCGGGTATCTGTATATAATTAGGAAAGTCCCCAACCTCATGATTTAGAGCATATCAGCCACTCACCTGGATTATTACTTATTTTTAAATCAATTTTTTTGATTTCTAAGGAAACTTTTATACAAATATCATATGAAATATCATGTGTAAAATCATAATTTCCATAGGTTTTTTTTTTAATATATCAATGTAAAAACATATCTGTTCAAGGTTAAAGCAAATGTTTTTCAAGTCCCACTTTAAATGGTGTCACAGGCGTAGCAGTGACCCAGGGCGCTGGCTTGTTTCTTTTTAGCTCATGAAAGAGGCAAACCTCAAGGGCACTGGCTTTCACTGTTTTTCAGAGGGGCCTCCAGCTCCAGGGGTGGGAGAAGACTGAGTGCCTCAACCCCCCTTCAACCAGAGAGGCTCTCTTTTCTTCTAGTTTCTACATTGGGGTCGCACAGAAGAGTTTGTATCAAGACAAAGAGAATTCCCCATCTAAAAAAACAGTAATCTGCCAGGCTCAGTGGCTCAGCCTGTAATCCGCACTCTGGGAAGCTGAGGTGAGTGGATTGCCTGAGCCCGCGGGTTCGAGACCCGCCTTGGCAACTTGGCGAGACCTCATCTCTACAATAAATAAAAAATTAGCCAGGTGTGGTAGCACGTGCCTGTAGTTCCAGCTACTTGGGAGGCTGAGGCGGAAGGATCTCTGGAGCCCAGCAGGTCGAGGCTACAGCGGGTGGGGTGGCCACTGCACTCCAGTCGGGCCGATAGAGTGAGACTCCAACTCATAAAAAAAACCCCAATAATCCAAAGACGCCTTGCCTAGTGCAGCCTGCTCACTGTGCAGATGAGGTCACTCGGGTCAGGGAAGAGAAGAGATAGTCTTGGGTCACAGCTGAAGGCAAAGCCTGGCCTAGAACCCAGGTCGGCAGGCCCTCGATTCTCACAGAGACAGAGAGAGATAAAGTTTTCCATTCTTTAAAGAGATACATTTGGCTTTTGGCTGGGAATTGTGGAAGGTCCACACTGGGAATGGGGGTGGAGTGGGGGCAGATATGGAAGGTGAGGGGGGACCACTGAGGGAGGAATGGGTTGGCAGCAAGGACTGGGGAGCAGCCCCTTTAAACACAGCTGACCCTGGCTGGGCTCTGTGGCTCAATCTGCAATTCCAGCACTTTGGGAGGCTGAGGTCAGTGGATTGCCTGAGCCCACGGGTTCAAGATCAGCCCGGGCAACGTGGCAAGACCTCATCTCTACGATACATAAACACAGCTGACGCTTCCTCCGTTGGGATGAGCATAGCCTGCCGCTTGCTTATTTGCTGCACTTTTCCCTGTTGACACCACTGGCGAGGACATGCTGGGGAGGAGGCAGGCAGGGCCCTCCCCTGCACCCCTCAGGATCCTGGGGGTTATATAACTATGACCGTCTCCTCCCCACTTCCCCCAGAGTCCTACCTTTCAGTCTCAACACCTTCCAGCCCCTGCCTCTTACCAGTCTTTGCCTTCTCATTGCTGATTTGGTTGACGGGACCTCCACCTCTCAGCTGGCCTCTGCGTCCAACTGAGAACACCTAGACATGTGAAGGAGCCCACAGTCGTCCAGCCAAGGCAAAGTTCTCTCGGGAGCAGCTGATGGGGAAAGTGATCGAGTTCCCTTCCCCACCCCAGCGGGTCCTCCACGTGGACTATACCCTTTTGGTTCCTTCAGACTCAGCAGTCTTTCACTGTCCCCACTCACCCCTGCACAGGGGGTGCCAGGAAGTCCACACTAGGGCGAGAGTGGGCATGAGTAGACAGAGCCAGGCCCTCCCCACTACTCTGGAAACCTGGGTGAGTTTGGAGGCTGGGGGGAGGGAGTGTGTTATGGACTCCTCCGGGCTCTCGGGGCTCCAGAGCCCTCAGAACATGGCACTTTTCCGTCTCTGCTGGGTGATCCAGCCGCTGGGATTTATGTCCATCTGCAACATCTTCATCACCCACTTGTCACGACGAGCACCTTCAATGAACTCATTCAGTGAGAGCTGGCCTGAGTGAAGAGCAGGAGAGAAGGTCATGTAAGAGAAGGGAAGACCTGGGCTCAGGGATGGGAGAGACCTAGGGGTGCCTACACCTCTTTTTTTGAGTTGGGGTCTCACTCTGCGGCCCAAGTTGGAGTGCAGTGGCACGATCACGGCTTGCCATAGCCTCAACCTCCTGGGCTCCGGCAAGCCTCCCGCCTCAGCCTCCCAAGTAGCTTGGACTACAGGCACACATAACCATGCCTGGCTAGTTTTCAAAAATTTTTGTAGAGACATGGTCTCAGCATGTTGCTAAGGCTTTTTTCAAACTCCTGGGCTCAAGCAATCCTCTTGCCTCAGCCTCCTAAAGTGCTGGGATTCCAGGCATGAGCTACACCACACCTTGCCCAAGTTTCTATTCTTTGTCTTACGCTTGCCTGGCCTCCACCAGCAATTAAAGCTATGGGAGCTTTAATCATGCCTACAGACATCATGCTTGTGATGCCCCTTGTTAGTGCATGCAATCTTCTCCACAGCCATTTCACAGATGGGGATACCAGTCATTGGGCAGTGGAGGGCCTTGCCCAAGGACACATGGCCAGGAATCGGTGGTGCTGCAGAGCGGGCCGCCTTCCCTCCCCGTCTTTGCCCCTCTTACCATCTCCGTTCTCATCCACAAGGAGGAAGATCCTGTCCACAACTTCCTCAGGTGTAAGAAGCTGGCCCTGGTGCTCAGCATCCAGCTCCATCCGGCAGGCTTTCTTCAGCTTGTAAATTGCCTGTCAGAGGAAGCTCAGCTGTATTCACGGCACACCCTGCAAGCCCTGCCCTCACTCCAGCGATCCACGGCCCCCAGCGCCATCTCCCCAGTGCTGGCTTCCCAGGCGTGTGTCTTAGGACCACATCATCCAGGTCTAGAATGAAACTGACTGGCCTCAAGCTGTCCCACTGGTCAAATTCCAACTGAGGTCCTGGGCTCACTCCCCCATCCCCTCCCCGCACCATTTCCACTGTGAGCAGAAAAGTCAAGCCCAAAACTTTTAGTGAGGGATGCTGAATTCACTGAAGGTCTAAACTCCATTCTACAGAGGAAGAAAGGGAGATGCAGCGAAGAAAAGAGAATTCACTGTATTTATGTGTGTGTGTGTGTGTGTGTGTGTATAAAATAGAATGATGTGGATACAGCTGTCAGTACTGAAGGGAAAAAACCAAGTTTCTCCTTTACCCTGTATCCTCTCCTTAGGAGGCAACATTTGTGAAAGCACCATGTATGCTGGGTGCGGTGGCTTACTCCTGTAACCCTAGCACTTTGGATGGCCAAGGCAGGAAGATTACTTGAGACCAGGAGTTCGACACCAACCTAGAAAACATAGTGAGACTTTGCCTCTATAAAGGATCAAAAAATTAGCCAGGCATGGAGACACACACCTGTAGTCCCAGCTACTCAGGAGGTTGAGGTGGAAGGATCCCCTGAGCCCAGAAAGTCGAGTCTGCAGTGAGCAGGGATTGCACCACTGTACTCCAGCCTGGGTGACAGAGTGCAACTCCAACTCAAAAAAAAAAACCCAAAAAACAAACAAACAAAAAACAAAAATGTAAATCAGAAAAGACATGCTGGGTGCGGTGACTCACACCTATAATCCCAGCACTTTGGGAGGTGGAGGTGAGAGGATTGCCTGAGTCCAAGGGTCCGAGAGCAGCCTGGGTAACTTGACAAGATCCTGTCTCTACAATAAATCAAAAAATTAGCAGGGTGTGGTGGCGTGCACCTGTGGTTCCAGCTACTTGAAAGGCTGAGGGGCAAGAATTACCTGAGCCCAGCAGGTTGAGGTTGCAGTGGCTGTGAGCATGCTACTGCACTCCAGCCTGGGTGACAGAGTGAGACCCCTACTCGGAAAAAAAAAAAAGAGAGACATACAAATAGGAGGGTTCTCCTTAGCTCCTGTACTGGGTGCAGAGGCTATGTCTTATTGACCCCTACTGGCCTCACTGCCCAGCCCAGCGCCTGGCACAAAGTACACCTAATTGAAGGTGTCTGGGGAGTCTGAAGGGTTAAATCCAGCTCTAGGCCTTCATAGGTATATGAACTTAGGCACAGACTACAGAACCTCTATGAAGCAATTTCCTTCTCTGTAAGATAGAGCTAACAACGCCCACCTCATAGTGTAGTTCAAAGCTAACACAGGTAACATGTCAGAGTCTGGGATATACCAGGCACTTCTTTTTCCCCCCAATCATTCTTGCTAAGAGTCAGTTTTGCTAGTCTTTTTATTTTTTTATTTTTACAGACAGGTCTCTCACTCTAACACCCAGGCTAGAGTGCATGGTTAATTTTTTAAAATTTTTTATAGAGATGGTGTCTCACTATGTTGCCCAAGCTGGTTTTGAACTTCTGACCTCAAGCGATCCTCCCACCTCAGCCTTCCAAAGTACTGGGATTACGGGCGTGAGCTACTGCACCTGGCCTTGTTAGCCTTCTAAAAGAAACAATTTTTGGTCTTGTTAACGTTTTCTCTTGTGCATTTGTTTTCTATTTTATTGATTTTCTGCTCTTTTTTTGTTTTTTGAGTTGGAGTCTGACTGTCTCCCAGGCTGGAGTGCAGTGGTACACTCATGGCCACCGCAGCCTTGACCTGCTGGGCTCAGGGGATGTTTCTGCCTCAGTCTTCCGAGTAGCTGGAACCACAGGCACAAACCACCACGCCCAGCTGATTTTTTTATTTATTGTAGAGACAAGGTCTCCACAAGTTGCTTGGGTTAGTCTCAAACCCGTGGGCTCAGGCAATTCTCTCACCTCTGCCTCCCAAAGTGCTGGGATTACAGGTGTGAGCCACTGTGCCCAGCTGATTTTCTGCTCTTTCTTCTTTCTTTCATTTTTTTTTTTTTTTTTTTTTAGTCAGAGTCTCACTCTGCTGCCCAGGCTGCAGTGCAGTGGCATGCTCACGGCCACCGCAGCTCAACTTGCTGGGCTCAGGCAATCCTTCCGCCTCAGCCTTCCAAGTAGCCGGAATTACAGGCATGCACTACCAGGCCTGACCAATTTTTGATTTATTGTAGAGGTGAGGTCTCAACAAGTTGCCTGAGTTGGTCTCGAACCCACAGGCTCAGGCAACCCACTTGCCTTGGCCTCCCAAAGTGCTGGGATTACAGGCTGAGCCACTGAGTCTGGTCATTTCTTCTTCTTCTTTTTTTTTTTTTGAGTTGGAGTCTCACTCTGTCGCCCAGACTGGAGTGCAGTGGCCGCTCCCGGCCACCGCAGCCTCGACCTGCTGGGCTCCAGCGATCCTTCCACCTTAGCCTTCCAAGTAACTGTAACTACAGGCGTGCGCTACCATGCCCAGCTAATTTTTTTGATTTATTGTAGAGATGAGGTTTCGCCAAGTTGCCCAGGCAGGTCTCGAACCTGCCGGCTCAGGCAATCCACTCACCTCGGCCTCCCAAAGTGCTGGGATTACAGGCTGAGTCACCGAGCCCGGCCCCTTTCTTCTTTTTTTGGGTTTAATTTACTCCTTTTTTTCTCATTTCTCGAGATGACTTCTTAGATTGTCAATTTTCAGTCTTATTTTCTGATATCTAGTTTTGTTATTTTTGTTTTTTGTTTTGAGTTGGAGTCTCACTCTGGTGCCCAGGCTGGAGTGCAGTGGCACGCTCACGGCCATTGCAGCCTCGACTTGCTGGGCTCAGGTGATCCTTCCACCTCAGCCTTCCAAACCTGGAATCACAGGCACATGCCACCATGCTCAGCTAAATTTTTTATTTGTTGTAGAGACAAGGTCTTGCCAAGTTGCCCCAGCTGGTCTTGAACCCCCTGGACAGGCAATCCTCTTGCCTCGGCCTCCCAAAGTGCTGGGATTATAGGTGTGAGCCACAGCATCCAGCTCTAATGTCTACATTTTAAGTCTATACATTTCTCTGCAACCCCAGCTTTAGCTGCATGTCATGAGTTTTGGTGTGTCATGTTTGCATTATTATTCAGTTCAAAATACTTTTCATGTGTGTGTGCACATGATTTCATTTCTTTGATCTGTGGAGTATTTTTGTTTGTTTGTGGGTTGGGGTCTCACTGTTGCTCAGACTGCAGTGCAGTGACATGATCACAGCTCATTGCTGCCTCGACCTCCTGGGCTCAGACCATCCTTCTGCCTCAGCCTCCTGAGGAGCTGAGACTACAGGCATGTGCCACCATGCCCAGCTAATTTTTTGATTTTTTTTTTTTTGTAGAAACAAGGTACTATTTTGCCTGAGCTGGTCTCAAACTTCTAGGCTTAAGCAATCCTCCCATCTCTGCCTCCCAAATTGCTGGGATTACAGGCACGAACCAATGTGCCCTGTCTGATTCATGGAGTATTTGGAAGCATATTATCCAATTTCCAAACAGATGGGGGTTTTCTTTTTTCTTTTTTTTTAGTTGGAGTCTCACTCTATCATCCAGACTGGAGTGCAGTGGCCGCTCCTGGCCACCGCAGCCTCAACCTGCTGGGCTCCGGTGAACCTTCTGCCTCAGCCTTCCAAGTAGCTGGAACTACAGGTGCACGCTACCACGCCCGGATAATCTTTGATTTATTGTAGAGATGAGGGCTCACCAAGTTGCCCAGGCAGGTCTCGAACCCGCAGGCTCAGGCAATCCACTCACCTCAGCCTCCCAAAGTGCGGGATTACAGGCTGAGCCACCGAGCCCGTCTCTGATGGGGATTTTCTAACTATCATTTCGTGACTGATTTCTAGCTTAATTCCACCGTGATCAGAAAACACACCAGAATGATTTCCAGATCTTCTCCCCAGCCCTCGCTGAGCCCCAGCAGTGCCCGAGTGCCCTGGTTGCCAGCCCACAGGCTGACACTGACCTCCACGATGTCGAGCAGCTCTAGGCGGTCAATGCAGCCATTGCGGTCCTTATCGTAGATCTTAAAGGTCCACTTCAGCTTGTGCTCCAGGGTGCCCCTCAGCACGAGGTTCAGGGCTGCCACATACTCCAGGAAGTCGATGGTGTTGTCCTGTGTTGGGTGCGAATGCTACTGAGGCCCCCAGCCCCCAGCCCCACTCCCCAGAGAGTCCTCTTCGGGACCACTCATCCATACAAACCTCTGCTGGCCTCCCCATTTTTTGTTCATGCTGCTTTCCATTCCTGGGGCAGAGAACATTCTCTAGTCTCGTTCCTATGATCACCTAATCCTACCCGCCCTTCAAGGCTCAGTGTAAGGGTCCCCTCCTCCAGGAAGTCTTCCTCCATGAACCACTTCAGCCTTAGTTCTCTCTCTGTCCCCATTCTAACACCCACTCACACTACCTACTGTCTATTCTACACTGTTTGGGACTTCTCTGGCATTCTCACCGGACTGTTTCTCAAGTATGTCCCGTTCTCTCAACACATTACCTGCTCCTGGAGAAAAGGGAGAGGTTGGCGTTGCTGGGTTTCTCCTCCATGTCTAGCACAGTGTCACTTATGCCCAGAGTTGGGAGGCAACAAAGATTTATGAATCAATGAGTCAGTGATGGACTTGATCTGAATCGGGGCTAAGGTCATCTTGGAGATTAGGAAGCAGAGCCCACCTGGAGATTTTCCTGTGCACTGTCATTCGCCCTGGAGTCTGAGGGAGGTGGGCCGGCAGGCCCCACGCACCTCTAGGCCCAGGTGGACATTACCCTGAACGCGGGCCTTGTCCCCACCCCCAACCAGGAAGGGTGGAAGACAGAGCTCAGTTGTTAACTGGGCAGAGGAAGGGGAGGGGAAGTCTATTTCTTTCTCCTTTTTTTTGAGTTGGATTCTCACTCTGTCACCCAGGTTGGAGTGCAGTGGCACGCTCACGGCCACCGCAGCCTTGACCTGTGGGGCTCAGGTGATCCTTCCACCTCAGCCTTCCAAGTAGCTGGAAATACAGGCATGTGCCATCAGGCCTGGGACCTCCCAAAGTACTGGGATTACAGGTGTGAGTCATTGTGCCTGGCTGGGGCAGTCTATTTCTTTTTTTTTTTTTGAGTTGGAGTCTCACTCTGTCGCCCACACTGGAGTGCAGTGGCCGCTCCTGGCCACTGCAGCCTCGACCTACTGGGCTCCAGCGATCCTTCCGCCTTAGCCTTCCAAGTAACCAGAATTACAGGCATGCGCCACCAAGCCCGGCTGATTTTTTGATTTATTGTAGAGATGAGGTCTCGCTGCCCAGGCGGGTCTCAAACCCGCGGGCTCAGGCAATCCATTCACCTCAGCCTCCCAAAGGCGCGGGATTACAGGCTGAGCCACCGAGCCCGTCTGGGGCAGTCTATTTCTAAGGTGACTGTCACTAGAAAACTGAACCTTCCTGTAACAGAAATGTGACAGCAACAATGATTCCAAAAGCAGTAAACAAGAAGTCAGAGGAGAACATTCTTGTTTCTCTTCTCCCAACGGTTTGAGGTGGAAGGCTCCTTGGGCGGTGGAGGCACCTGCAGTGGGTTTGGTGGGCCAGGGTCTCACAGGAACTCACTAATTCCGGGGTTGGGACCTCCAAATCAAAAATCGGAGGCATCAGCTCCCCCATGAGTGTCTGTCACACACATGACTTTGTAATCAGAAATGACATTGGTGGCCCAGACCACTTCTGTCCCATTGGGTCAGGCCACTCGGAAGCCCCAGCCCGGATCAAGGGATACATGTGTGAGCAAGAGTTGAGTAGGAGACAATGGCAGAAAATGAGGGAAACAGCAAGAAGCTTAAGGAAACACTAATTAGAAAAGAAAACCAGCTTTCCGCTACCCCTGAGGTGTGGATGCACATCCTTTACACAATTCCTGCAAATAATATAGTCCTCCTAGTTGCCTAATTAAGGCCAGGCTATATTTATAGTTTTATTTCCTGGAATTTTCCTTCCTTCCTTCCTTCCCTTCCTTCTATTTGGTTTGACATACAAGCAACAAGAAATTTCCTGGATTTTCGTTTAAGATCTTTCTATATCTTTAAAAGTTATTTAAGATCTCAACTTTCAGAGTTTTTTGTGGGGAGGGGTTACTGGGCATTTCCTTTGTAGAACACATTTCTTTTCTTTTTTGGTGGGGGAGTTGGAGTCTCAGTCTGTAGCCCAGGCTGGAGTGCAGTGGCACACTAATGGCCACCCCCAGCGTCAACCTGCTGCTGGGCTCTGGTGATCCTTCCACCTCAGCCTTCCAAGTAGCCAGAACTATAGGCACATGCTACCACGCCCAGCTATTTTTTTTTAATTGTAGACGAGGTCTCATCATGTTGCCCAGGCTGGTCTCAAACCCATGGGCTCAGGCAATCCTCCCGCCTCAGCCTCCCATAGTGCTAGGATTACAGGCTTGAGCTACCGCGCCCGGCCATGTAGAACACATTTCTAACATTTTACATTACACAATGAACATCTTTGTGCATGTATAGATTTTCTTACATCTTTGGGATTTTTTTAAAGGTAGAGTCTTAGCAGTGGTTGCCAGTTCCCAAAAAGGCTGTTTTCTTGAGTAGTTAATATTTATTGAGTTTACTATGAATCAATCTTGTGTTTCTTTTGTTGTTGTTGTTTTTGTTTTGTTTTGTTTTTTTGAGTTGGTGTCTCACTCTGTCGCCCAGACTGGAGTGCAGTGGCCGCTCCCGGCCACTGCAGCCTCGACCTGCTGGGCTCTGGTGATCCTTCTGCCTCAGCCTTCCAAGTAGCTGGAACTACAGGCATGTGCTACCACGTCTGGCTCAGTTTTTGATTTATTGTAGAGATGATATCTTGCCAAGTTGCCCAGGCTGGTCTCAAACCCATGGGCTCAGGCAATCCTCCCGCCTCAGCCTCCCATAGTGCTAGGATTACAGGCTTGAGCTACCGCGCCCGGCCATGTAGAACACATTTCTAACATTTTACATTACACAATGAACATCTTTGTGCATGTATAGATTTTCTTACATCTTTGGGATTTTTTTAAAGGTAGAGTCTTAGCAGTGGTTGCCAGTTCCCAAAAAGGCTGTTTTCTTGAGTAGTTAATATTTATTGAGTTTACTATGAATCAATCTTGTGTTTCTTTTGTTGTTGTTGTTTTTGTTTTGTTTTGTTTTTTTGAGTTGGTGTCTCACTCTGTCGCCCAGACTGGAGTGCAGTGGCCGCTCCCGGCCACTGCAGCCTCGACCTGCTGGGCTCTGGTGATCCTTCTGCCTCAGCCTTCCAAGTAGCTGGAACTACAGGCATGTGCTACCACGTCTGGCTCAGTTTTTGATTTATTGTAGAGATGATATCTTGCCAAGTTGCCCAGGCTGGTCTCAAACCCATGGGCTCAGGCAATCCTCCCGCCTCAGCCTCCCATAGTGCTAGGATTACAGGCTTGAGCTACCGCGCCCGGCCATGTAGAACACATTTCTAACATTTTACATTACACAATGAACATCTTTGTGCATGTATAGATTTTCTTACATCTTTGGGATTTTTTTAAAGGTAGAGTCTTAGCAGTGGTTGCCAGTTCCCAAAAAGGCTGTTTTCTTGAGTAGTTAATATTTATTGAGTTTACTATGAATCAATCTTGTGTTTCTTTTGTTGTTGTTGTTTTTGTTTTGTTTTGTTTTTTTGAGTTGGTGTCTCACTCTGTCGCCCAGACTGGAGTGCAGTGGCCGCTCCCGGCCACTGCAGCCTCGACCTGCTGGGCTCCGGCGATCCTTCTGCCTCAGCCTTCCAAGTAGCTGTACCTACAGGTGCGCACTACCACGCCCGGCTAATTTTTTGATTTATTGTATCTTGCCAAGTTGCCCAGGCGGGTCTTGAACCCATGGGCTCAGGCAATTCACTCACCTCAGCCTCCTAAGGTGCAGGATTACAGCCTGAGCCACCGAGCCCGGCTCAATCTTGTGTTTCTTATTTAATGAGAATTGAATATGAGAATGCTATCTCCATTTTATGGACGAGGAGCCCGAGATTCAGGTGCCCAAGGCCACCCAGGCAGCAAGTGGCAGAGCCCTTCAAGGTACATGTCTCCTCTAGTTCATCAAGCTGGAAAGGCTTTTGTTCTCCACTCAAGGTCTGTTTCTGTCTAGCAAATGAGCCTGGTACTTAGGGGTGCCAAGACAAGGCAACAAGAATCCAAAACCACTGACAAATCCCTTTTATCCAGATCTCTAGAGTACCCTTGGACAAAGAATTGTCCAGAAACGTCTGTTCCCAACTTCCTCTCTTAACAGGATTCAGTTTCCATAATGACCCCGTGTCTTATATGAGGCAAATTCTAGAGTTCTCCAGACAACTGATCTCACCTGTGAGGTGACTGGAAACCCCAGGACCACGGCTGGGAAACTTCCAGATGGGACTAATTTCATCTGCTGTGCATGGGTCCTTGTCAGTTCCAATTACCCAGGGAGGCCTGAGAGTGATGGAAATGCCTCTGTCTGCTCAGGAATAGGACGGGCGTGTCATCTGCGCTGTGGGATTATCTGCCCTGTTTCTCTCTGAATTGGCTGCATTTTTGCACCAACCCTGACCTCAGTATGTATTACGTAAGAATTCCTGATGACATTTGATCTTCATCCTCCAATTTCCTCCATTCCAGAGTGTTCCAGAGAGAAATGCTGCAAGTGGGAGCAGCAGAGATGGGGTGATACTAGTGCTTTGCCCCCATCAAACCCCTGTTTCCATCACCCCGGATTTTGATGTGTGGGCTAGATCTACGAATCTTTTGATTTTACTTGCTTTAGAAATCTCAGACCTGCAGTCCAGAAATGAAGCTCACTGACAAAAAGATGTGTCAAGGTGGGAAATGGAGTTGGGTGTAGGTTTGGAAACAAAGGTTAATTGGGAAAGAAGGCTCAGTCTCTGAGAGAGGAACTAAAAAACACCCGAGGAAGCTCTTCCTTACAGTAGACTATCAACTAGTGGAGAAAAGATGGCGGAATTAGAAAGTTATCAATGGGGCTGGGCGTGGTGGCTCACACCTGTAATCCCAGCACTTTGGGAGGTCGAGGCAAGAGGATTGTCTGAGCTCAGGGGCTTGAGACCAGGCCGGGTAACTTGACGAGACCTTGTCTTCAGAATAAATAAAAAATTAGCCCGGCATGGTGGCACACACCTGTGGTTCTAGCTACTTGGAAGGCTGAGATGGAAGGATCGCCGGAGCCCAGCAGGTCGAGGCTGCAGTAGCCGTGAGTGTGCCATTGCACTCCAGCCTGGGCAACAAGAGTGAGACTCTGAATCAAAAAACAAAAAACAAAAAAGCAAAAAAGAAAAATTATCAATCAAAGCCCAAACTAGTAGATGAAAATTTGGTGAGCAGTAGGGTATTTACTTAGTCTCAAGGTATATCCCTACAAGATGAGTATCATTACAAAGGAAAAATAATAACTTTGCATTGGAGAAATCTGGCAGACACAAAACTGCCTTAACCAAATGATCAAAGTTAACTGGGATGGGACAAACCGACATCATGCACCCATTGATATGATGCACTGGGAAGGAGCCAGAAGTTTTACAATTTACCTGAGTCTCATCATGGGGAAACGTTAGACAAACCCAAACTGAGGGACATGCTACAGAAAATTGGGCTGCAATCTTCAAAAATGTCAAGGTCAAATAAAACAAAGAAAAGCTGAGGTGAAAGGTTCCAAACTAGAGTAGACTGAGGACATACAGCAACAAGCAAATGCAACATGTGATCAGACCAAAAAAAAGTGGGTGGGGAGGGAAACTATAAAGAGCATTACTGGGACAACTGACCAAACCTAAATATGAATTGTAATTAGATAACAGAATTGTATAAATGTTGAATATCCCTATTTTGATCATTGTAGTGATAGGATGTTCTTATTCTTGGAAAATAACATGAAGTACTTAGAGGTAAAAGGGCATGATATCTACAACTTTCTCTAAAGAAGTAAATATGTATGTATGATGTGTATGTATAAATATGTGTGATATATATGTATATCGACACAAAATATATTTTATATATGTGTATACATATAGAGAGAGAATGAGAATGCAAGTGAGGCAAAATGTAAACGGTTGGGGGAGTTTGGACAAATTGCACATGGGAGTTATATGTACTATTCTCATTAATTTTTCTATAAATTTGGAATGATAGCAAAATTAAAGTTATTAAAAAAGAACAAAATTGATGACTATTATATGCTGATTTATAAGAAGTGTATAAAGGGTACAACTAAAAAATACTGAGGGGCTTAATAATCCCTTTTGGGCCGGGCTTGGTGGCTCAGCCTGTAATCCCAGCACTTTGGGAGGCTGAGGCGAAAGGATTGCCTGAGCCCACGGGTTCGAGACCCACCCGAGCAACTTGGCGAGACCTCGTCTCCTCAATAAATCAAAAAAATTAGCTGGGCGTGGTAGCATGTGCCTGTGGTTCCAGCTACTTGGAAGGCTGAGGTGGAAGGATCACAGGAGCCCAGCAGGTCAAGGCTGGGGTGACCGGGAGCGTGCCTCTGCCCTCCAGCCTGGGTGACAGTGAGACTCCAACTCAAATAATAATAATAATAATTCCTTTTGGCTCTTGAATTGTTATTATATTGATTTTTAGACGAATATGGGGAAGATTAATATATTTATTTATTATTTTTTTTTTTTTGAGTTGGAGTCTCTGTCATCCAGACTGGAGTGCAGTG